CAATACAAATATATTTTCTTAAAGTTTTAAAAATAGTTGTGTGTTTTTTCCCAGGTAATTCAGTGTCATTGGATTTCCAGAATTCTTTAGTGTCCAAACCAGAGCCACCTCCGTCTCAGAACAAGCCAGTCACTTTCAGAACGGTGAGCCGAGAGGATCCTGCTCCGTCTACCTTCTACCCCCAGAAGAGTTTCCCAGATAAAGCGCCAGTGAACGGCACTGAACAGCCTCAGAAAACAGTCGCCCCAGCCTACAACCGCTTCACCCCCAAGCCGTACACCAGCTCCGCGCGCCCATTCGAGCGCAAGTTTGAAAGCCCTAAATTCAGCCACAACCTTCTGCCGAGTGAAACTGCACACAAGCCTGACGTGTCTTCAAAAGTCCCGACTTCTCCCAAGACCCTGGTGAAGGCCCAGCCACCCGAGTTCGACAGCGGCGTGGAGACCTTCTCCATCCACACGGAGAAGCCCCGCTACCACGTGAACAGCCTCAGCACCGGGCCCAGAGCTGTTCCTGGGAGGTAAGGGCGCCCTCCTCCCGGCCTCGTGACCTGTCAGACAGGAGCTGCCTTGCTTCGCTGATTGGGGACTTGACATGATAGTTTTAGCTCAAACTTGAACCTGAGTACTGTTTTTTTGTTTTGTTTTTTAATATAATTTTATTGATTTCAGAGAGGAAGCGAGAGGGAGAGAGAGATAGAAACATCAACGATGAGAGAGAATCACTGATCGGCTGCCTCCTGCATGCCCCCCACTGGGGATCAAGCCTGCAACCCAGGCATGTGGCCTTGACCAGACTCGAACCTGGGACCCTTCCAGTCCACAGGCCAATGCTCTATTCACTGAGCCACATTGGCTTGGGCCTGAGTATTGTTGACCAAAACGTTGCCACGAATGCTATCATGCAAGAGGCACAGGAAATAATGAAGCTGATGGTCACACCGTGGCCAGTAGTCTTATCATAGGCCCCCTGTTATCTGAGACTGAGCCGAGTGCCCTTGCTGTGTGCCCACGTTCGCACAGTGGGGTGCGGGGAGCACAGATCCAGCCCATTCTCTCAACAGCTTCCCATGACCCCAGGAACATTGGCACCTGTGTTCCTCGGCCACTGTTTGCTCAGAGCGATGTTAAAACAAACAAAGGTGGCCCTGGCCGGTTTGCTCAGTGGATAGAGCATCAGCCCGTGGACTGAAGGGTCCCGGGTTCGATTCCAGTCAAGGGCACTTATCTCAGTTGCGGGCACGATCCTGGCCCTGGCCTGGGTGTGTGCGGGAGACAACCAATTG